GGAAAATGAAACTACATGGAACACCCTCAGATAACTTGTCCAGTCAATTCTTCTTTTGGAAACCTTTAAACCTCTCTCTCTCTCTCTACTCTGATAGAAAAGAAGAACAAACACCTCTCATCAGCACACATCAACAACAAAAAGGTAATCATTGAAATAGAGAACACTAAATTCCCTTTTCCTATTGGAAACAAGTCTATGACTCTCTCACTCTCACAGTCACTCATCCTACACCTTCCAATACATAACACTCTCCTAATAAGTAAAAATAAAGAAAAACATAACTAATCGGTAGACTCTCTCACCNCACTCTCCTAATAAGTAAAAATAAAGAAAAACATAACTAATCGGTAGACTCTCTCACCCAACCTCTCTCAACCAATCCTCAAACACACAATGAGCCTTACACAGTCTTTCCCGCTCATTCCAAACTACATCTGCTAGACTACAACTGCAAGGAAGATCATCAAAGGTGATTCTACTGAAAATAAAATCGCGAAGGATAAAATAACAAAACGTTTATTGATTATTTTTTTCAATCCGTAGAAAGGTTTTTACAATATCATAACAATACTTTCTATTTCAGTTGGTGCAAGCAACACTTGGCTAACTCTCATTATCAATCAGGATGATCCTTACTTTCTATTGATCGAAACTGTAACTGGGTGTGGGTGTCAAATAACTCAGAACTATAGCAAATAAAATAGCCGACCAGTACGCAATAACAGATGTTTGAAGAACATGCAAGGATTCAAGCTTCGCCTTCATCTTGCTTTTCAAAAGTTTCACCAAACTCAAAATGAGCAATATGACATGGATGATCACAACAAAGAAAGTTTTGAAGGGAAAATAGATTTTGCCACGTTCACTAATTTCATTTCCGATTGAAACCAGAACTAGTAGGTTGACAGGAGAGATCAGCATACTTGTGTAGAACATAAGGTTTTCCAGGAAGCTTACCAACTCTTGATCATGAAGAGCGTTATATATGATTTGATAGAATGATCTAGAACATATACACATGAAAGAATGCGTTTGGGTGTTTGCCAATTACCTCATAAACCCATATAATAACGAGAACACACCGAGGAACGTACAAGTTATGAGAAACGCTCCTAGTACGTCACCCGGCTTCTCCTCTGTAATGTTGAAGATTATATCACAAATCGTCAAAAAACAGATTCCTGACACTTGAGCTGAAAGAAAGAGAAATTATGAATCAAAACATTCTTTCAAACTTAGTAAGATGGCTACTGCTCCCAAATCAAAGGCTCTAATCAGTTGGTGCGGACGACTAGCTGCTTCATTTTTTTCACAATCAAGTCGATCATCGTGGATTTTATCATAGGATGGATCAGAGTTCGTCATTTCGCGAAACAACTTTCCTTGCGATAATGTTTACAATTGAAAATACGATAGGATGTCACGAGGAATGATTTTGGCTGCAATCCAAACGAAAACTATCGACCGCAAGATCGGAGCAGGAACCGTTTAACTTACTGTAAAGTACTGTAGCTCCACAATTTTCAAATGAAGAAATATGATACAAATCAGTGAATGAGAAACAAAAAGGATAAGCATGGAAAAGCCCAGAATGTGTGAGAAAATAAGACAGTAGCATCAGCAGAGGTAACTGAGCGATGAGTGAAATGAATTTCAACATGTTTGAAAAGGCCGATTTCACAAAATTTAAGAAGCACGCGGCACTTGGAATTCACAAGCCAGCTAAACATTAACCAGCATCTTCTCAAAAAATTTTCCTTAAAGGACTAATTATTGAAATCAAACAAATGCATCAAATTTGTACATGTGGCCCTAAAGAGGGCCGTTGGGTTATAAATTGTCACAAGGAGATGCAACTTATCCTCCGAATCCATAAAGGGTTCTGCCTTGACGCTTA